ATTCCAGCTTCCGCGGTGCGAGCACAAAAGGACTCAGCATGGGAGGCGCAGGGTTTTGAAAGGGTACCCCGAGTGGCAGTCGGGATGCTTGCTTTATGAGCCAGCCCTCCCGCTTTGCTGCGAGGGAAAAGAGAAGCAGCGCCCTGGCCCCCAACTTTCTTTTCTCCGGGGAGAGCCCCGCGCGTGCGAGCCCGGAGCCCCCGGCTGCCGCTCCCCGGGGGCCCGCAGGAGCCGTCCTGCGGGCGTGCACCCCAACTTCCTCTCCTCGCCCCGCGGGTGCCTCCTGGTATTCCTTCCTCTCATTGTCTGCTTTTGTTTATAGGAAGCCAGACACGAACGCAATCACTGCAGGGACCTCAGGGAGCGAATTCCCGCAGGCACAGGCCGTTCCCTCCCCTGTCCCCTCCCCTGTCCCCGCCCACCGGCTGCTCGCCCGGTGGACACTTTCTGCGCTGCCTGCGGCTCCAGCCCGGGCCCCGGGGCCGGCAGGAGAGGGCGGAGCCGAATGCCAGGTGCTCGCGGGGTGCGGGGCCCAATCCAGGAGGAGCAGGCCCTCCCCTGACGCCCCAAACCACTGACATGTACTCCTTAGAGGGGGTGCCGTTAGGAAGACAGTGAGAAAACCCCCAAGGCTTACTCTTTCCTTCAGCCTAATTCATCACTAACGGCGTATTTATTAAGTACCAGACTCTGGTGGGATTAGACAAGCGAGTGTAGTGGGTAGATCCTCTCAGAGGTGGGTTTATATCTAGAACCCTCATTTGCCAGGAGGGTGAGCTTGGGTAGTTAATGTCTCAGAGCCTCATTTTACTCATCAATAAAATGCAACAATAATAACCATCTCCAGACATCAGAAGTACAACTAAACTACAGAAGAACCACCCTTCAGAACGCCCGAAATCTAGCTGAGTGGAAGCCCTACAGCTAAGGGTTTAAAGAAGAAACCACACTGAGGCTGGTAGGAGGGGCGGAGACTTGCACAGGCTCCTCCCACGCCCAGGTGTGACGGGTAAAAACCAGGAGGGACAGCTTGGCTTCAGAGGTACCCGGAGGAGAGGAGGTTCCACATCAGGCCTCCCAGCCCAGGGTACCGGTGCTGGGAAGAGAGGTCCTCATAACTTCTGGCTGTAAAACCCAGCAGGGATTGTGGCTGACTGAGAAGGAAGGCTGCTGGAGTCCCAGGCAGTTCCTCTTAAAAGACCCGCAACAGGGATTTACTGGGATTCACTGCCTTTGGGCTCCAGCCCTGGGGCAGCAGCTCGAAAGGCCCCAAGAACATACTGCGAGGAACTGAATTGTCTGGCATCCGGGTGAGAGCTGGAGGGACAGCTTTCTCCCAGACAGGAGCCATTGTCCCTTTTCTGAGTCCTCCCCCAACACAGCCAGCAGGTGGGTGCCATATCTGAGTCTCTATCAACCTGGCCATCACTGTTCACCCTGCCTTGGTGATTTCCTGAGACCCTGCCCCATCAGCTTTGGGCCCATCCAAGCTGTTTCCAGTGGTTTTCCCACGTGAATGGCCTGTCTTGGCTCATGTTTCAGACTTTCCTAAAATTTCTCAAACAAGGAGCATCTGGCCTCGGTGTGCCCCGTACCACTCGCTAAGTGGCCCCAGGACTGGCACAATTGGCAGTAGGGCTTGGTTCGCAGCTTGGCCTCCCCTGGGCAACTCCAAACCCAGTAAAAGTAGCAGCCATCTGCAATCTTTGTAGCTCATGCAGGGTGGCCCCGGGCAGAACACAGGTAGTGGTTGACCTTGGCCTGAACCTCCTGGGAGGCCCCAGAGCCAGTACACCTGGTTGACAGCATCAGACACACCTAAGCACCACCCAACCACCTCCACAAATGACACACTCAAGGGGTGGACTCAGTGGGCACAAACCCCACTGAAGTAAGTCCTGCTTCTTGGGCCCCTGCACAGCTGATCCTCTACCGTAGTTGCAGCCAGTTCTTGCAGCTGGGGGTAAATACTTCCCCTTGAGGTGTCAAGAGCAATCAAGGCTCAACTACAGCAGGAGGGTTTACACAACCCACATGGAAAGCACGCCTGAAATGCCCAGCTCGGGTGAATGGGGAGGCTGTGCCACTGGACCCTACAAGACACCTACTTCATTAGGCCACTCTCCGAAGCCCAGGAGACATGGCAGCTCTACATAATACATAGAAAGAAACACAGGTAGGCTGTCAAAATGAAGAGACAAAAAAATGTCCCTTATGAAAGAACAGAACAAAACTCCAGAAAAAGAAATAAACAAAATAGAGACAAGCAATCTGCTAGATGCAGGGTTCAAAACACTGGTTATAAGGATGCTCCATGAACTTAGGGGAAGAGTAAATGAACTTAGTGGGAACTTCAACAGCATAAAATAGTACACGGAAATCATAAAAAAAACAGAAAGGAAGGCTACACTAACTGAAATGAAGAGTAATTTATAGAGAATCAACAGTAGAGTAGATGAAGCTGAGAATCAGAACAGCAATTTGGAACATAAGAAAGCAAAAAAACACCCAATCAGAACAGCAAAAAGGAAAAAACAAAAAAGAGGATATGGTAAGGAGCCTCTGGGACATCTTCAAGCGTTCCAGCATTTGCATCATGGAGTGCTGGAAGGAGAAGAGAGAGGGCAAGAAATTTAAAAACTATTTAAAAAAATAATGATGGCAAACTTTCCTAACCTGGTGAAGGAAATAGACATAAAAGTCCAGGAAGCACAGACAGTTGCAAACAAGAGGAACCCAAAGAGACCCGTACCAAGACACACCATAATTAAAATGCAAAAGGTTAAAGACAGAATCTTAAAAGCAGCAAGAGAAAAGCAGTTAGTTACCTACAAGGGAGCTTCCCTAAGACTGTCAGATGATTTCTCAACCGAAACTGCAGGCCAGAAGGGATTGGCTAGAAATGTTCAAAGTGATAAAAAGCAGGGACCTACAACCAAGATGACTCTACCCAGCAAAGCTATCATTGAGAGTCAAAGGATAGGTAGAGAGCTTCTCAGACAAGGAAAAGCTAAGGGAGTTCATCACCAGTACTACATGAAATGTTAAAAGGTCTTCTAGAAGAAGGAAAAATATGAACAAAAAATGGCAATAAATACATATCTATCAACAAGTGATTCTAAAAAACAAAGTAAATGAACAAGCAGAACAGAAACAGAGTCATAGATACAGAGAACATTTTGACAGTTGCCAGATGAGACGGGGGTTGGAGGGCTGGGTGACTTGGGAGAGTTTTAAATTAATTAGTCAATTAATAGTATGGAGCATTGGCATTAAAAGACTTCCCAGCCCACCTCCTCATCAAGTTCAGAAGTGATGGGTTCTGGTTACTTTCTGACACAGCCTTTATTCTTCCTTTCCATCGTCCCTGGACATGTGCAAGGTGGTATCTCCAAGACCTATAACCTACCTCTAGGACACAGTTTTAGACCCCACTGAGAGGCCAATCTTCTCCCTTCTCTTCATCATCTCAACTCAGAGCTTCCTTGGACACCATAGTGATCTCTAAATGCAGTTGGCTGAATACTTCCGGAAGGAAGGGATTTTTTTTTTTGCCTTTGATGGTTTCGGATTCTCAACTGAGGACTGTAAATTTAGGGTAATTAAGGCCATAACACTTTTTCTTTTTTATGCCCTATGTGAGCTGTCTTTGAAATTGGGTCTAAATATTTTCAAGGCTCCTCGGTGGTACTGTAGCTGTAGACATGGGGAGATGGGAGCATCAGTTCTTTTTCTCTGAGGGGCCTGTGACTCTGTCCAGCCACTGGCTGACTTGTTTGTGTTTAACCATTTGGGAGGCAGTGCAATGTGGGCAGTGGAAAGACAAAGGATTCGAGTCTGGCAATTTGGGTAGCGTGGGCAAACTTAACTGCTAAGCCTCCATATTCTCATCTGCAAACCAGGGAGATTGATATACAGGTGAGGAAACACCAGTGAGGTTGAATAGCTTTCTCAAGGTCATTCAGATATAAATGTTCAAAATAGGCTGCCTTTCTTTTCTTTTGGCTGGTTGACATTCTCTGGAATGTGTGGTCCTGAAAGGGGTGGAGAAAGGGGACTTAGGGTGCTGATGTTGCAAGGTAGGGATTCCTGAGAACCATGTCCGTGCATTGCTGACCACGTACCAACACTCAGGCTACCCTGACTTGGAATTTTAGGAGGTGGGGGTGGGTTTGGGGGAACTGGATCTCTGCAGCACATTAATTTTCCTCCTCACTCCCCAACACATCAATTTCCCATGCTGCAGCGATGAAAACTAACAAAACAATTCTTCTTTAACTACAGATACAGCACTTGAGAGTCTTATGAAA